TATTTGCACTAACTAGGATACTGTAAGTTAACACGTGGAAATAGCTCTCTCTCTCTCTCTCTCTCTCTCTCTCTCTCTCTCTCTCTCTCTCTCTCTCTCTCTCTCTCTCTCGCTCTCTCCCTCCCTCCCTCTCCCCTTCTCTCTATTCTCCTTCTTTCATCAGCTTCTTTCATTGAGAGAAGCTGGTCCAAAAATGCTTGAAGGAAAATATTCTAGGTATCTATCAAAAAGCAACTGTATAAAGCAACGATAAAAATACATTGGGATGCATTAAAAATCTCTGTGGGAAGAGATGGAACTCTGGAGGTTGTATATGGGATCGAAATAGTAACACTGTGAGGTTAATATCTTTGGGGCTGGTTTCTGTTCCATGGAGTGGTGTGTGCTGCTAATGCCAGAAAACTCCCAAAAATCTCGCAGTGAAGAGGGCTGTAAATTCCTAGGCTGTAATGTTGTCAAATATTTCATTGAAGAACGTCATGGAAAATGTGTGCTTTCTGCTAAAAGGGCCAAGTGGAAGGGGCAAGCTCAGGACTAAAGCAGCAGAGACACAATACTTTTTATCCCCCTGACCAAAAAATGAACCTCTCCTTAATGTAGGGTTGACAGAGGGAGATTAACTGTCCCACCCTCTCTTGTAGGGGAACCCAACAACAGCTGCACCCCATACCTTGGCCCCTGCAGTTTGGGGGGGCAAGTCTCTTCGCTTCTGCCTATTGCTACCATCTGTCTCTGCCATTGCTAGCCTATCTCTTTTACTGATATGGCTTGCAAAGGCCAATTTGACTTTTCAAGCTGAGTTGGGACGACAGCCTTTTTGTTTGTTTGTTTGTTTGTTTTGTTTTGTTTTGTTTTGTTTTGTTTGTTTTTCTAGCCTGTCCTCCTGGGTTGCAGCAAAGGGACTTGACCCATTGGAGGAAAGATGGTGCAAATACCCAAAGTCACCCTTCCATCTCCCTAAGTAAGTCTAGCTTGAACCTGGGGAGGGTGAATCAACAGTGCCTGTGGAACAGAGGAGGAGGGATGGATGGCCTGGCACTTCCAACAGAGTCTGGCCAAAAGAGAGACAAAAAGACCTTAGCTACAAGGCAGAGGAAGAAGAAGAAGAAGAAGAAGAAGAAGAAGAAGAAGAAGAAGAAGAAGAAGAAGAAGAAGAAGAAGAAGAAGAAGAAGAAGAAGAAGAAGAAGAAGAAAGAGAGAGAGAGAAAGAAAGAAAGAAAGAAAGAAAGAAAGAAAGAAAGAAAGAAAGAAAGAAAGAAAGAAAGAAAGAAAGAAAGAAAGAAAGAAAGAAAATGATTACCTCACCTCCTTCATGTACATCTACCTGGAGGGAGGAATAAGTGAAGCCAGTCTCCTCAAAACACAAAAACTAGGAGAGTGACACCCACTGAAATTAACTTGCCGGTTAAAGCAGAGTTAGACCTCACTCTGTCTATCTGTTCCAAGCTCCCTGGCCACAGTTCGGCTTTTTTTTTTTTTTAAATATTGGCTGGTGGAGCCTGGGGATGGGGATAGTGGAGCCAAGAAAATGCCCTTAATCTCTCTCTTTCTCTCTCTCTCTCTCTCTCTCTCTCTCTCTCTCTCTCTCTCTCTCTATGTATATGTATATATATGTATATGTATACGTATACCCCATACATGAAGACTAAGACCATTTTATTATAAATATGTCTCCCCTATAAATAACGTGCTCTGCACACATAACCAAGCTACATTATACCCACATTACACTTATTTCAGTCTATTAACTCCCTCCATGATACACGCACATTCCCATGAAATTCGTTATACACAATTATTATATAATCGTGTGCGTATATATGTCTATAATATATATTCACGCCATATATTTCACAGATATGAAATATGTCTGAGTATTCTGTCGCTTGCCCTGTCAACGCCTTGAAGTCGTGTATAAATTCGCCAAAAGCCAATCTTCTCATCTCCCGAGCTTGAATTAGCCCTACCACTCCCGCCTCTTCCCTTCCTACCTTATGTAAACGTTTAGGGATCAATTTGCAAGGGGCTAAAGCTAGAACCTGGGTAGGGGTGGGGGCGCCCCGGCTGGGGAGCGGGCTCTGAAAGCAGGACAAGACGGAGTTGGGGCAGGCGGCGGTTGGGGGATGCTTTCTGTGAGTGAAGTCACTGGCGTTAATGAAAAACAGGGGGAGAGGAGAGGGGCGCGCGCCTGCCGGTGCCCTCTCGGTGGGTGGTCCGCGCTCTCTGATAAACACGCGGCCCCTTCTGCAGGGGAGCGCCCGCTCTACAGACTGCGTGTAACAATACCACCTAGATCCATTTCCATGCTCGGATTACAAGCTCGGTTGCTGCAGAGTCGAGTTCACTTAAGCAATTAGCCAGTAAAAATACCTTCGGTCAAGGAAAAAGGAAGAAGTTTCTGATTTGTCTATTTTTACACAAAACACCCGATCCTCCCACCCCCACCCCACCCCTTTAAATTGAGGCTTGAAGACTGTTGGGCAATAAGACTAATAAGAGTGGAGGTCAGGTTTTAATGCCCTTCTAGATTTTTAGGTGAACACTAAACATCTGCCCCTGGGCCTCCCCTATACTTGAAGACCTGGTAAGAGTCTCCAGTTAGCGTATTTTATCTGTCTGGATGTTCTTGGGGGAGGGAGGCTCCTGTTTATACGGTTTGGTTGGTTGGTCAAAGAGAGTCTGTGCTCTCCAAGGCACGCCACCTAGCCCTTAATCTGGTCTGGGGTGACGCAGGCTAACAGAGAAAGCACCCATCTCGTCTTTCCTCCAGACTTCAAACCTCTACTGGGAAACACCAGTGGTTCTGCAGCTTCTTGAGCTGGTCCCCAATATCCCCGACAGATTTTGTCTTAAAGGGTTAGTCGTAGCTCTATAGGTTATTAAATTGTCGGTTGTTCCATCATGGACCCTTCCCAGTGTCTGTTGTAAGGCCTGTGGGGGAGGGGGGTAAACACCGCTTAATGAAAGCGATTTTCCTTCCAAAAGACCACAGCAGCGTCTCCACTTCTCTCCCTTTGCATCCTCTTTCAGAGAGATATAAAAGAAAGTAAAGTGAAGGAATTCGCTATAATAGTTAAGAACACTCTATTAAGAGTCTGGAGAACTAGGTTCGATTTCCTACAACTCTCTCTCTCTCTCTCTTTCTCTTCACACCCGTGTGTGTGTGTGTGTGTGTGTGTGTGTGTCCTCAGGCAAGTTATTATATCCCCAGGTGGGCTTTACTTTATTTTCCCCATCTGTAAAGCAAGGAGGTTGACCAGATGTTGTCTAAGGTCTCTTCTGACATTCTGTGAACATGGAAAACCTATGTCCAAGATATCCCCTGAGTGAGCTTGATTTCTCCCTTAATAGCAGAGAACAATCCCTTTTTTCCTACCCCTTTCTCCAAGTACTTTCCATAGCCAACCTGGTTAGGCTTTGGGAAGCGAATCCTTTAAGGAAGATTCTCATTGGCAAGGATGCCTTGGAATGGAATGAATCTCCCTGTTTCTTGTTTGTTATATTGCTGCTGTTCCCTTTCCCCAGCAAAGCAGGATTTTTCTGTCAGCCTAAAGGAAAAGCGGCAAACCGCCTTCCAGTACTCCCTCTGCATACGTACTCAAAGGCGGCTATTGAAAGAACGTTTTCCGCCCCGTACCCCAAACTAGACACACATGCACAGTCACTACAACTCCAAAGAGAGTAGGGGCTAAATGCCACATACAGAGCATTTCGGATTGAGTCTCCTGAGTAAATAGGGGACGGCAGTGCAGAGGGGAAAACCGTGAAGGTGATGTTATGAGATAACCCAAATCCCACCCTTCTCCTTTCCCTTATTCGGAGCTCATCCGGCCACAGATGTTGAAGGGTGTGCCAGAGACTGGGAACCATGGCCAGGGTGGGACTGGAGGGTAGATTGACCTCTTTTTCTACGGTGAACTGTGCTAAGGCCACCGAGACTGGCTTTAGATGTTCATCCGGGAGCATATGGAAGAGGCCTGGCTTCAGAATCCAACCAGGATGTAAGCAGTCTCCGGCTTCGGGTTTTAGAGACTACTTCTTTTTCTCCCACTCCCTAGCCTACAACACAGAGTGTAGTCCAGGCTCCCCTCCCCAAAGTTCCGCCGCGGAAGCCGGGGGAACTTCTCCCCCTCCGTTTGCACTCCAGGACGCAGGATTCGCTACCGAGAAACGTCAGCAGCGACCCCACTTCCCCCGAACTCCCCTCCTACCCTGCTGCTGCTGCTACAGCTGCTGCCGTTTGGCAGACGGGGGAGGGGGGGAGTAAAGAAAGCAAGGAGGTTGTCTCTCTCTCTCTCTCTCTCTCTTTCTCTCTCTCCCCTTGTGTGTGTGTGCGTGTGCGCGCAGTACTGCACTGGGGGAGGGGAGGCAGGGGCCCTGATCCTGGGAGGGTTGGTTTAGAATCCGGTCTTCGGGGACGTGGTAGAATGCGGGAAGCCTCCTGCCCCGTCCCTGCTGGAAGTCAGGGATCGGAGCTAGGCGCTGGGAAGCCACTCGGGCCGGGCCCTCAGCACAGATTTGCCAGGCGCCCCGAAGGCGACTTCGCGTCTCCCCGCCAAGGCTTTGAGCTACAGAGGGAGGTGGGGAATAAGGGAGGGGGAAAGGAGGGGGAGGAGGGCCCTTGGGGAAACACGATAGACGTCTTTTCTTTTGGAAAGCACCGGGGGGCCGGAGGAGAGCTCACCTAAAGTGTGGGCGCACACGCCGATTGGACTGTCTGCGCCGGGCTTTCTCCCCAGCCGGTGCAAAGCAACGGTCCCCAACAATCTGCCCTCCGTTTCTAGCAATGAACCGTGAAAATCCACCTTTCTCTGAGCTTTTCCTGAGCCCCAAGCCTCCCTCCACTCTCCCTTCCCCTCACCATTCCGCGCGCTCCCGCAGCTGCGCCTCCAGTTCCTTCTCTAGCCCCAGGCGAAAGAACCAGCAACCGAACGAACAGTGAAAAGGTCAAACTGCGCACCTACCCAAGCCCGGAATGCCCTGAGTCCCAAATGACTTACCTTGCCGGGTGAGCAACGGTTGCCTGCTGAGAAGCCCGCTCGGACGCTGGGGCGGCAGTGCAGCGGCAGTCTCTTTCCTCGGCCTCCCCCCCCCCCTCGCCTTGCTCCAACCGCCCCCCCCATCAACACACACACTCACACGCGCACACACACACACACACACACACACACACACACACTCCCCCTTTGCCCTAGAGTAACTGGGTGTGCACACGCGCGCACGAGAGTGTGCGCGGGGCTAAGCTTGCGGGGCGCGCACGCGGGCTGCTCCAGTCAAAGTCCCGACACCCCGCACTAATATTTATATTACAAAAATCTAAACAAGCCGCCAGATAGGCTGCCCAGACGATTCCAGTGTAGCAGAAAGGGGGCATGGAAAGAACTGCCCGTTTTCGCGGATTTTTTTTTTTCTTTATTAAAGAATCTCCGAGAACATGTTTACACTGGGCTGTATAAACATCCTGCCAGGTTTCCCAGTATCTTAGAAATTAGACCCTTGATTTTTAAGCGGGGGAACGCCAAGGGCCGGGAGCCGAGCTATCTACGCTCTCTAAGCGGGCCTGGGCCAGGGCTCGTTGCTTCCCTCGGCTTTGAGACCAAACGGTGCAGTTGCTGCGGCCCGCTGCTGGCTTAGTGGGAACCACAGAGTTCACAGCAGTCCCAAGCCAACTGCGCGGCCGCAGACAAAGCGACTAGCCGCGCTTTCGTTTTCCCCAGGAACGCGGCTCGCCTGAATTCAGGGAACCCCAAGACTTTAGGGCTTCTGAAAATTCAGGCGGAATTCAAGGCATTTGGCAGCCACCTGGGAAAGGATCCCTCCTAGCGATCCTATTGAGAGGGTCCCCCTGAGGCGTGGGTGGGAGGTTGGGAGTTGGGGGACCTCCACCAGAGAGGGAGGATTGGAAAATAAAGGGCCTGGACTTCACGGAGGTGGTTGCGATCCCGGGGCTGTGGAGCAAGGAAGAAAGAATTTGGGGTTGGAAAGTCTAGTGATGGCTCCGCGTTTCCCGCTGGCCCAAACAGTTCAGGAAGGTGGGGTGGGAAGGTGGAGGGCGGGGGGGGGAGGACGTGGGGACGTGAGCATGGAGAGAACCGCCTGGTATTCGTTCGTCCATTAAAAATCGTTTGGAAGGTTGGTAGATAGAGGTGGGGGGCGGGATCTGGATGAGAGCCACTGTTCAGTGGAGAGAGGGAAGGGGAGTGTGAAGGTCCCTTTAAGTGCCCACCAGAGTAAGGATGGGGGGGGTGGGTCGGGGGGAGGGAAGGAGCGAAGACGGGGGAGGTCGGGGCGGGGGAACTCCTCTAGCTCCTTACGTCTGACTGACTGTCAGGAGTCGACAGATGCAGCTGACAAGAGATAAAGTTAAAGGCGATCTCCGCTGAGAGAGCAGAGCCCAGAACCGCTGTTATGACAAGGGACCTCTTTGGGCAGCAGCGGCTGGGATAGGAGCCTTAGGCTCTGTGGGGGCCGCCGGGGTCCTCCGAGGCTGTTTGAGACTGTAGCCGCACAGCCCCCTCGCCCTCTAACTCCCCCTTCCCTGGAATCCCTAAATCGGAGGGGGGGGTTCCTTGCTGTCCCCAGGGCTTCTGTAAAGAGCCTGCCCCTCTGGCTCTGGCTTGGCTCTCAGCTGGTTCCTGCTCTTCTGGGAGGGCCAGAGCGGAGCGGGAAGAGGAGGAGGGGGTAGGGAGGAGAGAGAGAGAGAGAGAGAGAGAGAGAGAGAGAGAGAGAGAGAGAGAGAGAGAGAGAGAGAGAGAGAGAGCCAAACCCTAGCCGGCTGCAGCAGCAGCAGCAGCAGACCTAGGGAGCTTCTCCGAAGTAGGGGGGTGGGAGGGAGGGCCGCCGGGCCCGGGAAAGGGGGGTTGGGGGGAGGGGAGGGGAGGGGTGTGCAACTGAGTGCTCTGGAAAAGTTGCAGCAGATGACGGCAGAGGTGAAGCAGGCTCCCTTCTCTCAGCCCCCTCCTCTTCCTCCCTCCTCCTCCTCCTCCTCCTCCTCCTCCGCGGCGCAGAGCAGCGGCGGCAGCGGCGGCGGCGGCAGCAGCCACCCAATGTCCTCAGTCCCAGAGAAGGCGCAGCAACACGGCGGCCACAGCAGCGGCGGCAGCGGCGGCGGCGGCGGCTCGGCTATGGACCCCGCCTCGTCCACCACCTCGAAGGCCAAGAAGACGAACGCGGGGATCCGGCGGCCAGAGAAGCCGCCCTACTCCTACATCGCGCTCATCGTCATGGCCATCCAGAGCTCGCCCACCAAGCGACTGACGCTCAGCGAGATCTACCAGTTTCTACAGAGCCGCTTCCCCTTCTTCCGAGGCTCCTACCAGGGTTGGAAGAACTCGGTGCGCCACAACCTCTCGCTCAACGAGTGCTTCATCAAGCTGCCCAAAGGGCTGGGCCGCCCGGGGAAGGGCCACTACTGGACCATCGATCCGGCCAGCGAGTTCATGTTCGAGGAGGGCTCCTTTCGCCGGCGGCCCCGCGGCTTCCGAAGGAAGTGCCAGGCGCTCAAGCCCATGTACAGCATGATGAACGGGCTGGGTTTCAACCACCTCCCCGACACCTACAGCTTCCAGGGCTCAGCCGGGGCCATCTCCTGCCCGCCCAACAGCCTGGCCTTGGAGGGCGGCATCGGCATGATGAACGGCCACTTGCCGGGCAACGTTGACGGCCTGGGCCTGCCAGGCCACTCGGTGCCCCACCTGCCTGCCAACGGCGGCCACTCCTACATGGGCAGCTGCGCCGGCTCGGCGGGCGCCGAGTACCCGCACCCCGAGGGCTCTGTGTCCGCCTCCCCGCTGCTGGCCAGCGGCGGGGTCATGGAGCCGCACTCCGTGTACTCGGGCTCCGCCTCCGCTTGGCCGCCCTCGGCCTCAGCAGCGGCGCTCAACAGTGGTGCCTCCTACATCAAGCAACAGCCCTTGTCCCCCTGCAACCCCGCCGCCAATCCCCTGTCGTCCAGTCTCCCCACGCACTCCCTGGAGCAGCCTTATCTGCACCAGAACAGCCACAACCCTGCCGAACTACAAGGTGAGTGCAGCAGAGTGGGCGAGGGAGGAGAGGGTGGGGGGTGAGAGGCGTAGGAGAGGGATTTGGGGAAAGTGGCAACTGTGGAACTAGGGTTCGTGCTGCCGAGAGAGTCCATGTAGAGATACGCACCTCCCCAGGCTTGTCCCCCATATGTGTGGAACAACGTATATATTAAGCGTGTAGTGTGTGTGTGTGTGTGTGCGCGCGCGCGGAGTCCATGACCTTGCCTGTATATACCCCTACTCTGCTAAAAAGAGAAAGTTGAGTTGTTTATCTATATCCAGGGTGGGTGGAAAAGATGCTGGTGATTCGGAAGCAGGCGGTGCATTCCTTCAAATGGCATTCCTTCAAAAGGCATTCCTTCAAACACACATGTGTTCATTCATGTTCAAATCGGCCCCCTTCCCGACCCCTTCTCTTTCCAAAACTTGCAACTTGGCCGACAACCTATGATTCTTAGTTTAAGTCCAGGAAAGGAGTTCTGCATGGCCTTCCTCAGGCCCTTCTGGACCCCTCCCTCTCTGCTGGCCCAAGCTCTGGAGTCTTACCGATGTTTAAAAAGCCCACTGTTAATGGCTTGAGGTTTTGACCTCATGGACTTTTTAGATTTTCTAAAGAAAGAAACTTGAAAGCTAAGCCAGCAGGCCAGGGCCTCTCTGTTCTTCAGGCCCAGTTCCTCCTGAATGACCTGAACAGCCGGGGAGAGCGATTCTGCCTTCTCAGGAATTGAGCCCTGGGTTTGAGAGGAGGAGGTAGGCCAGGAGGGGTCAAGAGCTTTTGGGGGGGGGAGTTGGAGTGGCCTCAGAGTGTTTGTGGATACAGGACTAGACTGCTCTATACAACAGCTCAGGGTTAGGAGGGCATCCTTTTTCTTTATTGAGGTTAGGGTAAAGCACAGGCAGGCCTCACTGTCACTCTTGAGGAAGAGGCTGGCTAGATGAGGTCCCACAGCTGGTTTCTTAGGCTCCAGGTTTCAAGACCAAGTGCACCCACCACAGGGAGACTCCCACCCAAACCCAGGGAAGAAAGATTTAAAAATATCTCCCCCTCTCCCTAACCCCCAGCTCATTGCCAATCTTCTCCCTTCTTGGCCTTGTTTTGGAAACTGTCTGAACTTAGCCAGAGGCCTGTCAATTTAGGGCTTCCTTGAAACCAGGACGCTCTACCCCTGAGGTCAGGCCTGGCCTGATTAGCAGTACTGAGGGAGTATAGGGGCTCTCAACCAGGGTCAGTTGCCTTTGCTGTATATTGGGTGGGTGGGTGGGGGAAACAACTGTCCTCAAAGAGTAGGACTTTTGAACTGAGCTACAGGACAAAATTCTGAACATATTCAGTCTGCGTAAAGGGCTCAGAAATCCTCAACCCTCTGTCCTTAAACGTTTCAACTTCTGCCAGTTAACTTTGCCTGAAACATTTCTGCCTCACCTCAATTCTTGTCCTCACCTCCTCTCAAACTCCCTCATTCTGGGAGTTGCCCGATGGATCGGAGCATAATGCAAAGGTCAGTCCAGGGTTTGTTAATTGCTGTCTGGGGGAAAGGGGAACGGTCCTTCCAATTGGGGTGTTGGGCTCTTTAGGAAGCCATGACTGAGCAGGGCAGTGGTCTATTCTGAAATATTTCCTTACCCTGGGACCTCGGACCCGGAGGAGGAGTACCTGGGGACACGACCACTCCCTTTGCCAGACAGGTGGCCCATGAGACCCATCCTTTTGCCCCCACCCCACCCCCACCCCACACAAGCAAATAGTTTCCCTAGTCTCCGAGAACTTCAGAGGAATCTCAGAGCAGCCAGAGGGATTGGAGGGTCTAGATTACCGACTCCAAGCCTCCGTGCGTCCCGTAGACCCCGCGTCGCCAGGTTAACTCCAGCCGGGCGCCCTGGGAGAGTAGGGATTAGCAGGGCAGGGTGCAGCCAATTCGTTTAGTAGCGGAGCAACCTGGAAAAAAAAAGGTAATAGGTTTCCCATTCTTTCCCTTCCAGTCCTAACATTAAAATGGTAGCGTGGGCTACTTTCCCTGTCCACATCTGCTGTCTTCACATCTTCCCTGCTCCGTGTGTGTATGTGTGTGTGCGTGTGTGTGTGTGTAAGGGGAGAAAATTGATCTCTCTTTTCCTACAAATTGCTTTCTTTTAAGAGATAGAACTTCCAACCTAAACAAATATCTTTTTATTTCCTTCCCTCCCTGTATCTCCTTCCCAGGAATCCCCCGGTATCACTCTCAGTCGCCAAGCATGTGTGACCGAAAGGAGTTCGTCTTTTCTTTCAATGCTATGGCCTCCTCCTCGATGCATTCAGCAAGTAGCGGGTCTTATTATCACCAACAAGTGACC